ACTACCCCTCTGCCCCCCGCCCTCCCCTCCAAAAAAACCCCCAAATTCATGCCAGGTATACACCTTGTGCCTGGGGGACAACAGATGGGTTAACCCAGATGGCTTGACACTGACCACAGGCATACTGAGCAGAGCAAAGGAATAGAGGTGGGCAACATGGCTTTGGTCCTGGAAGAGGGCTATGAACCAGCCCTGTGACTCTGAGGCTCCTGCCCTTAGCTGGAGTCCTGTCCTGCTTAGGTAACTGTCACCCCAGGTTCCAAAGCCAGGGAAGGGTACTTGGGGCTGAGGAAAGCCGTGGGAGGAAGCCCGAGCTGAGCCAGGAGCCTGACCTGGATGGAGGGCAGCACTGAGTCCTTGGTGCGCTGGGCAAGAACTCAAGGACTGCAGAAGGGGAGCTGAAGGCCAGAGAGGAGCAGGGGTCTCCCAGGGATCCAGATGAGCTGCCCTTCCTATGACCCGGAGAAGCATTCTGCCTAGAAGGATACTGCAGTCCTCCAGGAGCAATGTGGAAGGATGGTGCCCTGGGTGGCTTCCTCACTCTGTCCCCAGTGTTTCCCTCCCTCCTGGGGCACTCACTTTGAACCCTATTGACCCCGGGCCAGATGGGCCCGAAGACATTTATTGGGTTTTCCTTAGAACAGCTGAGGCAAACTTGCATTTTCTTTTTTTTTTATTTTTATTTTTTATTCTTATGTTAATCCCCATACAGTGTTCCATGATTCATTGTTTGTGCATAACACCCAGTGCTCCATGCAGAATGTGCCCTCCTCAATACCCACCACCAGGCTAACCCATCCTCCCACCCGCCTCCCCTCTAGAACCCTCAGTTTGTTTTTCAGAGTCCATCGTCTCTCATGGTTCGTCTACCCCTCCGATTTCCCCTGTTTCATTCTTCCCCTCCTGCTACCTTCTTCTTCTTCTTCTTTTTTTTTCTTAACATATATTGCATTATTTGTTTCAGAGGTACAGATCTGAGATTCAACAGTCTTGCACAATTCACCGCGCTTACCAGAGCACATACCCCCCCAGTGTCTATCACCCAGTCACCCCATCCCTCCCACCCCACCCCCCACTCCAGCAACCCTCAGTTTGTTTCCTGCAATTAAGAATTCTTCATATCAGTGAGATCATATGATACATGTCTTTCTCTCAAACTTGCATTTTCAAAAGGAAGTTTATTAGCGTTGAAAGGGACAAGTTAGAGATGACGGAAAATGTGGCTGTCCAATCTCCAAAGCAAGACTTGTGCTCTCAGTCCTCACACTCTGGCCCCTGGACTGGGCAGCGGGGTGGCCCTTTGTCTGGAGGGGAGCTGTCACAGCCCCTGCCTGTCTCTACCTGCCATCGGGCTCTTTCCTGTGCTCTGGGGATGTCATCTGGGACACACTGCTGTGTAAGGTCAAGACCCTTTCCTTCCCCTGCCACCCACCTGGCTCCTGCAGATGTCCCGCTGGTTGAGGCTCCCTGTGCTGGCAACCTTTTCCCTCCAGGTCAGAGCCCGGCCGTCCTTCCTCCTGCGGCCCTGTGAACCCCCAGTCCTGGGAGGGGCCTCCTTACTCAAGCGGGCCCTCCAGCGAGACCTCGGCCTGCAGCTTCTCCGCAGCCTGCGCCTCCCTAGAGGCCTCCCGGCGCCGGGCAGAGGGCTGGTAGGAGCTCTCGTCACTGGCTGGGCCCTGCCAGCCCTGGCTGAGGCCCAGCAGGGCCCGGACCTGGTGGAGGAAGTTGGGGCTCGAGAAGCAGTAGAGCACGGGGTCCAGGACACTGTTGAGGTAAGTAATGGCCAGGGAGCTGTGGAAGAGCTGTGTGCAGAGGTCGAGGGCGTGGCAGGCATGCAGGCGGAAGGCCACCATGGAAGCCATGCCGAAGACGACGCTGGGCAAGAAGCAGACGATGTAGACGGCCACCACCGCGGCCAGCAAGCACATGGCTCTCCGCGGGCCCGCTTGCTCCCCCAGGCTGCGGCGCCGGATGGTGAGCCTGATGTTCACGATGGCAAAGAGGATGAGGGCCAGCGGCAGGAAGAATTCCAGCACGAACAGGGCCTGGTGCCAGCGAAGTGAGGCCGAGGACTTCACGCCCAGCCGGTAACTGAGGCAGGAGTGGTCGGTATAGGCAGCCAGAAGCAGATGCCCGTTGAGGAGCAGGATGCCGGCCCACAGCCCCCCGGCCACCCTGGCGGCCGCCCACACGGAGGCCCGGCTCAGCACGTGGTGGGGCCTCACCACCTTCAGGTAGCGGTTGAGTGCGACGGCCGTGAGGAAGACCACACTGGCCGAGCGGTTGGTGGACAGCATGAAGAGGTTGAGCTTGCAGATGGTGGCCCCGAAGCGCCAGTGCTCCTGCAGGAAGTAGTAGTCCACGCGAAGGGGCAGGTTGATGATCAGGAGAAAGTCGGCAACGACCAGGCTGACCAGGAACACCGTGTTCGACGTCCAGGGCCGCGTGTGGAAGCAGAAGATGAAGAGCGCCAAGCTGTTCCCCACCAGGCCCAGGACGAACTCCATACCCAGGATCGGCGCCAGGAAGGCAGACACGGTGGGGGAGAAGGCTGGGAAGCAGGAAACCGTGGCCTCTCTGGTGGCCCCCAAGTCTGAGGTGAAGGCCGAAGGAGAGGAGGAGAGGAAGGGAGGGAGGGAGGTGGGGAGGGAGGCAGGGAGAGCGGAGGGAGGGAGAGAAAGGAGGGGAGAGGAAGAGCTCAGGTTATGAGATGCCATGAGAGAAGTTTCCAGGCTTTCTACCCCTGCAAGAGTGTTCAGGGCAGAGTGGAATGATGCTCACTACCAGCTAGTCACCACAATGACTCAATATCCTGGGGTTTTTTCATCAGCATCCTTGCAGCCACTGAGAAACACCCAGCCAAAGGGGAACCCTGCAGCCCTCCCGCCCCTCTCCCTCCCCCCACACTGAGTGACCTGGCTGCAAGGTCTCTGAAGGGTCTGGGCTGCCCCTGGCACAGGAGGAGAGCAGGGCTCAGCAGGGGTGAGACGGAGGCCCAGGGAGAACCTAAAGTGGGAGGAAGGCCCAGCTGGGGTGAGGTGGGGAAGAGTGTCCACAGCGCCGAGGGCTCAGACGTTTGCTTGCCCGAAGGCCGGAGCTGGTCCTGGCAACCCATAGCTCTCAGGGTCATGCAGGCCACCCTGTACACCCCCGCCCCCCCATGTACAGACTGGGTGGCTGCCTCCCTGCCCCCACCAGCTCTGGCAGCAGGGAATGTGGAGCTAACAGGATGTTGTCCCCGGAGAGGGAGGTGGGGATTCCAGCCAATACCTTGACCACGTGCCCATGGCCTTGTGGCATAAGCCTGTTTGTGCCCTGCCATCCCCAATTCCCGATGGTCCAAAGTCCATGTCCCCCACGAAATACCCCCCACACGCAGAGAGCTCCCCTGCCGGTAGAAACTGGGCTCCTGCCCCAGATAGAACAATCCTGAGAGCCTTCGAGATGCCCTGTCCACTGTCCGCCCCCCTCCATCAGCACCCAGCATTCACCACAGACAGGGCAGTAGATTCCGGGCTGTCTTCAGGCAAGGTTTTCCTGTTCCTCTACTGCGTGGTGTTCTCAGGAGCTCCTGGGGCCTTGGACTCCTCCTGACGTGGGACAGGGCCGAGGGAGCCTGCGGCTCCGGACTGCAGGACCTGACACCCTCCCTTGCTGGCTGGCTACGGTCAGCAGGGTGCGTGCGTGCCAACCCTGCCTAGGCTCGGGGCTTCAGACACAGTGGCCATTGGCCTCTCTCTCTCAGAGCCTCCAGGCCTCTCTCTCCTCTGTCCTGGGCTCCCATCTGGCCAAGGCTGAGGGAGACAGGCCATAAGAGGCTGTGACCACAGGATGCCGGGTGGTGAGACCACCAGCCTGAGCTTTGAATGCAGACAGGCCTTGTTTGGAAACAGCCGCTTGTTGGCCAAACCTCTCAGGGAACTCCCTAGCACGGAGCTAATGTTAAGAAAAACAGAAGATCTCATTTTTGTTATTTTCTCAGGTTAGGTCTGTCCTGGGCACTAGGGACAAGCTCGTCTTCTCCTGGCCGCCTGCCCCTGTGCAGTGGGGGGCTCTGCGGGACATTCCCCGTGTTCTCTCCTGGGGGAACAGAGCAATACCCTGCTGCGGCCCACGTTCGGACTAGCCTCTGCCTTCACCTCCTGGACTGTGTGGGTTTGTGGGGGAGGCTGCCAGTGTTTCTTCTTGGCTGGTGGGAGAGGAAAGCCTTAGGGGTAGAGAGGTGGGCACAGGCCCTGGGGCAGAAACCCTTTCAGCAAAGCCAGGTTCCCATCTGCTTTCAAAACAGATGGTGGAGCGAATCAAAACAGTGGGCCACAGTGGGGGAAGGCAGGGTTTAGCATCCACGTTTTCCAGAGGAAGCTTTGACCCTAACCAGGGACCTGTTCCATCCAGATCCCACTTCGATTACCCCCACCTGCAACCCCGTCTGGACTTCTCACTGAAGTCCCAGGAAACCGGGCTCTGGTCTCCGCTGTAGGTTCTGGGTTTTGTCTCTACCCACAGCTGCTTCTAGGGTTCCCGGCACTCCTGAACCCCGCAGAGCACCCAGGAGCCTTCTGAGTCTTTGGACACGGTGACTGTACATAGAGGTGGGAGCGTTATCGTGATTTTCATGTGCTAACCGTGGTTAATTCTGCGTGGTGGATCTTGGGTTTTTAAGTATTTTTGTTTTCTATGATTAGTACACATCACTTGTTACTGGGGAGAAAAAACCCAACAGACACTATTTTTAAAAGCCATGTAAAAAGAGTAAGCGGGAAAGATTCAAGAGGGGGAGGGACAATATGAGCTGTGTCCCCAGGATGAGCACAGGACTGGGAATGGATGGGCCACACACACACAGTGAAGAGAGACCCTTTACGAGTAGGGACACCCACTAACAGACCGTCCGCACATCTACATGCACCTGGTGCCCCCGACACACCACACACATGAGTCACAGGAGTACAGGGGGTCGGCCATCCATGACAGCCCGTGTGCATTCAGACATACAGGTGTTTGTCCACGAGGAAGCCTTTATTGAGGGCCCTCTGGGTAGCAGGCAAGTGCTGCCCTGGGCCTGTGGGGACAGAGGGATGGAGAGGTAGTCCGGCCTCCATCAAGGAGCAGACCGTGCAGGGCAGTGGGCAGAGGGCTGTTAGAGGAGAAGGGGCACCACCATCCCCCCAAGAGCCTGGCATCTCGGCCGAGAGGACAGGAGGAGGGTGGGTGGCGATGTCCAGGGCCCAGCTCCGGGGACACAGAGTGGCTCAGCAGCGGTATATCCAGAAGCACAGCGGGCAGGGGAGTTATGTGGGGGAGGGAGGCACTGCTTCGGGGCCGCACCCAGAGGATCAGCCCAGGGGCTTCTTGCGGGCGGGGTCCTGGGTCACAGCCAAGGCCACAGAGCCCTGCCCTCGCTCCCAGGTGTACCTGTGGAGACACAGGTGGGCTGGGGTCAGACAGGTGGGCCCTGAGGATCCCAGGGGAAGGAGGGTGGTCCCACAGCTTGTGGGGGGGCGGCAAGTCCTCCCGTGCACTCACGCGTTCCCGGCTGGCACCAGAAGGCTGTCATCCGGGGCCAGGCTCAGGTGCTGTTCCCCCATCGTCACCACAGAGGAGCCCTCCTGGGAAAGAGGAGCAGGAGAACGGGAATGGAGGCCGTTGGGCCTCAACACCTGTCCAGGGGTCCCTGAGTCTGCCTTGGCAAGGAGGCCCTGGGAGCCACTCCAGGCTCTGGGCGTTCAAGGCCCAGGGGCAGCCTGGTCGCCATGGGCAGGAGGATGTGCCACCCTCTGTCAGGGGCCCCACTTGCCAACTGCCACAGCCACACATCCACGTCCTGTCGCGGGCCTTCGTTGCTGCCTTGTCCATGGACGATCACCTGGCAGGAAGCGACATACATCTTTCTGGTGCTTCGGCCCCACACGGGAGATGGCCTTGAACCTGCCCCCCAGACGCTAGGCCCGCAGCACCAGGCACAGCCTATCTTCATGTGTAGGGCCAAGACCAGGACTTGGAGGGGAAGGCTGCCCGGCCGCGGGCCTCCCTGCTGCCTCCCTGCTGAGCAGCGCTGCCCGCCATCCAGGACCACGCCTGCCTGCGCTTCACATGCACATGCGCATCGGATGCCTCGGCTGCCCATGCCCATGACTGCTGACCCATATGAAGGCATGACTGCCAGGGGCACGCTCAGGACACACGCACTCGTGTGTGCACGGCTTAGCGTGGACTCATGTATCACACACAGAGCTCTCCAAAGAGTGCCCACCTGCCTTCTTCCATGGGATTCTGGCCTGAGGAGGAGGGAGATGGGAGGGGACGAACTTTTTGACCTGCATCAGCCGGCAGCTACTGTGCAGGTCTCGCTCCTGCTGGCCCAGAGTGGGACTCAGTAGATATCTGTTGGCATAAACTGAAGCAGGTGGGAGCAGGCGTGTGCACGAGGCAGAAGGCAGCACCGGGAGGCCAGCTCGATGCCGAATGCCATTGCCGTGATGGGCTGGGAGGGGCTTTGTGGCGTGCCCCTGTTTTCACGGCCCTGTGTAAGCTCAGGTGTCTGCAGGCCAGAACTTTCAAGGCAGGTGTGTACCCAGGGAGGATCCCTCCATGAGGGTGTCTGATTCAAACTGCAAGGTATGTGCCCATGGCAAACTGTAAAGCACAAACAAGCCCGAGCCTTGCCCCTTGTCCAGCCCAGGAGACCTGTCAGGACCTGGGCACTGCCTGCTACTCCTGCCATCCAGCCATGGTGCTTGCTGCCCCCACTCCCCTGCCCTGGCTCCTGCCAACCTCAGCTACTTGCAGTGCCAGGCTTTTGCAAGCTTCCATGCGTTTACCCATGCTTTTCCCTTATCTGGAATGCTCTCTCAGCCTCCCTTTCTTCCTTTTGCAAACTCCTATATTTGCTTTAAAATGCAGCTTACACGTCACCTCCTCCAAGAAGTCTTCCCTGACTTCCCTCCCAGCCTGGGTTCCTCCTTCATTGTCCTATGGCTTCCTGAAGCTTCTCTACCAAATAACATACCACCTGATTGTGGTAATTGTTGATTAACTTGTCTTTTTATCACACCATACACTCTTTGAGGCAGTGACTCTTTTTCTCCTACCAAAGCCTGAAACATAATAGGCATTCAACAAATGCTGAATGAAAGAAGGCCAACTTTGTTTGGGTGGGTCTCTCTCTGTGCACCTCTCCACCCAACCCTCACCGCCAGGCACCTCTCTTCCTTCCGGCTCCCCAGGCTGAGACTGGCCAAAAGTTCAGGAATTCCTAGTAGAAGGATAACTCTAGACCCCCAGGAATCAGTCAGCCTATGGGGCAACCCCCCACTCTGAAGGCAAAGAAAGACTGCTTGAGACCACGTAGCCTCCACTCCTAGCAAAGCCGTCACTCTCTGAGTCAGGCAGGAAACAGGAAGACCTCTGTTTGTGTCACAACCTCTGAAACTGTGTGTGTGTGTGTGTGTGCGTGCACACGCACGCATGTATGTGGGTGATTAGTTCCCATTTCCTAGGGCTGCTGGGTAGATGCCCTGGATGGCCCAGGGCCTCGTTACCTGTGTCTCATAGGTGTCCCCAAACAGGCTGAGGGGTGTGCCTGCCTGCAGCTGTCTGCGGTGGCCATCCAGCCAGGCCTCCAGGGACATGGGCTCCATGATAGATCGTGTGCTCAGGGGGAATGGCGGTTCCTGGAGCAGCTGGTCTGCGCCCACAGCACAGCTATGTCAGTGGCCTCTGGCCCGGCCCGCCCAGAGCCCCAGTAGGCCCAGGGCTCCCAGCTCTGAATCACCAGGATGGGCCCTGGATCCAGCTCGAGCACCAAGCAGCCACGTGGGGGACACTATTTGGTGCCATTGTCTCGTACCTTGAGTACTGGGGCGAGAACTCAAAAGGAGACTGGTACTCTGGACCAGGACCCATTCTATTCTGGGAAAGCAGAGAGGGAGGGAGAAAGGCGGTTCCCTGGGGGACTCACCAGGGATGGGCTTTCCTGTTTTGTGCTGCTCAGAGCTGAAGAACCTGCAGGGAGAAATGGGGAGGAGGACGAGTGGCCAGCATTCCCGAATGAGTGGCCAGGGAGACGCACAGTACACACTCTCATATGCTCTCAGGTGCAGGAGCCCACACTCTCATGGGGCCCTACAGAACTCGATGGAGGTCCACCCTCCCCTCCCTTCCAGCCCAGGCCCTCCCACCCTGGGAGGGGCAGACTTTCCCCCCACATCCCAGGCACGCTGGCCCCAGTGTGGTGGGCACTGCTGGGTGGATCTGCCCTCCCCAGCCAGAGCAGGGGGCCTCAGAGAGCAAGGGGCAGGGACCGGGCTGGGGCTCACTCCTGGATGATGGGGGCCAACTGTGTGCCAAGGTCCTTGCAGTAGAACCACTTCTCAAACAGGACGTCCGTGGTGTCCCCCACGTAGTACCTGCCAGAGCAAAGGACAGGTAACCCAGCTCCCCACCTGGGTTGCCTCGGGGCGGCTCTGCTTGTGGAAGTCTGGACCCTGGCTAGCCCCGCAGAGCTGGCTGCCGCTTCACCCTGTTAGCACAACCTAGTGTCCAACGCTCACTCACCCACCCCTGGCTCTCCCGGAAGCACTATGTGCCCCAAAGTCGGCGGGCTATTATCGACCCCATTTGCATTCCTGGTTCCCCAAACAACCATTTACAAAGTGGATAGAACTCTGAGGCTCGGAGAAGCTGGGTAACGTGGCAGAGATTACACAGCCTGTGAGTGGTGGGTGCAGGACAGACTCGCGACAGTCTTAGAAACACAGACAAAAAATCAATAACAAGTGTCTTCATTTTCCCAGAGAGGAAGCTGAAGCTGAGCCTGAATACAGGGCCTGTGCAAGGAACCTTATGGAACCAACATGCAGAAGATACCCCCCCAGGTGAGGTGTCCTGCTCCTTTAGGAGTCACGGATGCCTTTGAGAATTGGAGCAAAGGCTGGGCCTCTTCTCCGGAGGAAAGTCCACCTGCGTGTACACACAGCCTCTCCGAGACTCTCGGAAGCCCACCCAAGCCCCAGCCCGGCTCAGTGAGCTCCTCCGCCAGGCCTCAGGCCCCTGGTGTGTGCCGCACTTTGTTGACTGAATGTCTAAGCCTCAGGCCCAGCTCCCAGGGCCAGGCCCTCTTTGTCCTCTTCAGCTTTTCCCGAAAAAGAGAAGTGGTCCTGCCTATGGGACATGGTTTATAGACACCCAGCTCATCCTAAGTTCTATCCTGGGACGGAGCTGGACACCAGAAAGCTTGCCTTCAGAGTGGCATTTTTAAAGTTGAGTCCCTGGCTTTTTTTTTTTTTTTTAAGATTTTATTTTTCCATTTGAAAGAGAGTGAGAGGGGGAGGAGCAGAGGAAGAAGCAGACTCCCCACTTAGCAGGGAGCCCAATGTGGGGCTTGATCCCAGAACTCCGGGGTCATGACCTGAGGTGAAGGCAGATGCTTAACCAACTGAGCCACCCAGGCACCAAGTCCCTGGCTTTTATTAAAGGTCAAAAGCAGCCAGGGGCGCCTGACTGGCTCAGTCAGTAGAGCCTGAAACTCTTGATCTCGGGGTTGTGAGTTTGAGCCCCATATTGGGTGTAGAGACTGTTTAAAAATAGAGTCTTAAAAAAAAGAAGGTCAAAAGCAGCCAGATGAAATCTGTTATAAATTTGCTGTAAAAATGTTACTGAGGACAGGGTGCCTGGGTGGCTCAGCCACCCAGCTGACTCAACTGACTCTTGATTTTGGCTCAGGTCATGATCTCAGGGTCATGAGATCGAGCCCTGCATTTGACTCCGTGCTAGGCATGGAGTCTGTCTCTCTTCTTCTCCCTCTGCCTCTTCCCCTACATGCACATGTACAAGCTCTCGCTCTCTAAAATAAATAAATAAATAAATAAATAAATAAATAAAATTAAAAAAAGTGTTATTGAGGACACTGTCCACTGTCACTAAAAACTCCTTTCATAAAGCCCCATATGAAAGATTTCTTTTGGAATTGAAGGCCAGACATCTGTTTCTACAACAGTAGGTTAGTATTATCATTGTGTTTTTGAAAAGCATTGAATAGTATAAGGAATGCTCAGGACTTTTTTAAGTAAAAAAAATCAAAATTCAACCCCATGTTTGCTAAGACTTCAATGCTGTAAGGTGTAGATATGCACAGAAAAGAGGCAAGATGGAAGGTTAACAAGCTTTGTTAGGTTTAACTGGTAAGATGACAGGGTTTTTTTGGTTTTCTCTTTATTATTGTTCATTTCATTTTATTGAGACGTCATTCACATTCCATAACATCTTCCCTCTTCCTGAGTTTTAACTTTATTTGCTTTCTTTTTCTTTTCCTGACTTCAAGACTGAACGTGTATGACTTTGCTGATTACAGAAAGGGGAAGCGTTAAAAAATAATCCATTGTAACAGGAGATGGGGGCAAAGTATCCTGATCTCAGGAACTTGTTGAGAAATTTTAATTTTATTAAAAAATACAAAAAATAGTTACGCTTTTGGAAAAATCTGTGTCCCTCGGAGCCACAGGCTGCATCAGATAATAAGTGGGTGACAGATTGCAGCCCACTGGGAACTCAGCTCTGGAAAGAGTCGCCGCCCCCCACGTGGCACCAGTGTTTGTCCCCTCCTCGGTGCTGACTCACACTCCTATCTAGACCATCCTGACCCTAATTTCCTATTTCTCTACAGTGCCAGCTCGGCTGCCTTCTAGCAAATTCAACCTCCCTGTGCCCAGTCTTCTTATCTGTAAAGTCCACACTTGCGGCTGCTTGCCCCATCTCTGCCCCGGATGTCCGGACAAGGCCCATTTACCTGAGCCCATCTAGCTCCGTTTTCAGCCGCCTCCGTTCGATGACCAGTCCCATGGTGTTGGCAAACCTCTGTGGAGAGTGGGGTACCCCAGCGGGCAGGAGGAATATCTGCAGTGGTGGAGACAAGGTGCTAGCAAGCCTGCAATGCCCTCCAGGGACCTGGGTGCCCGCAGTGTCCTGGCCTCCCCAGCCGGCCCACGGGGTCCGGCAGCCCCCCTCTCTGCTAGCCTCTAGCCCAGAAGCAGAGGAAATGTCAGGCCTTGTGAGGATGGGCAGCTCACAGGAGGAAGTGCCCAAGGGCCAGGAAGGGAGGCAGGACAAGCCAGGGAGGACACACTCCAACCAAAGCCAGCATGAGTGGACCATGGGTTCCTGCTCTTTGGTCCTTCACCTTCCCATGCCCTGGGGCCCAGGCTCACCTCTCCCTGCCGAATGGTCACGGCCCGGTGTTTCCCTCGCTCCAGGACTTGGAGAACCATGTCGCCCTCTAGCTGGTAAAACACCTGTGGGACAGGAGGGCAGACAGGCTCAGCCCCTGCCCCCTCCCTCTTCCAGGTCCTTGGCCTGAGTTCTGACCCGGACACCTGAGAAATTTCCTGAAGGCCTGTATAAGCAGTTCTGTCACTCCTGCTCTGAGGCCCCAGTCTCCCCTGACATGCTACAGACCGGAGTGCTGGGGCCACAAGACGAACTGTATCAGCTCAGGCGGATGTTAAACCGAATCTGGCCTCCAAGGCCTTACAGGGGTGGGGGCGGTCCAGAGAGCCAGTGTGTATTAAGCCTCTTCTCTGCCCCCAGCTCTGTGCACACGCACTCTATACATATTGACTCCTTCCCCCAGGCAGGGGCCAGTGTCCCCATGCACTGCATGGAAACAGGCTCAGAGAGGTGGCATGATGTGACCTGCCTGAGACCCCACGGTAGTAAGAGGCAGAGCCTTCAGCCCAAGTCTGGCTGACTCCCAGCCCAGGTCCCCTTGCATCTGTGCACCCCAAGAGAAGGAGTCGGGTAAATGGAGTACTGTGTGGTGGGTGGTGGAGCTGGGGACCCCGAAGGGCTGTTGCAGAAGCCCGAGCTCAGCAAGGATGATGATTGGGCTCAGTGATGCCTTTTCTCTCACCAGGGAGGAACCTGGACAGCTCCTATAGCACAGCCTGGGGAAGGACAGCAGGCACAGAGAGGAGGCTGACCCTCAGCCCTGTGGCCTCCCAGGGCCTGTGGCTGGTACTCTCCCCGACCCCAGGATGAGAACAAGCTGGCACAAACCCACTTCTAGCCGAGTTCCTCCCAGCCACCTGAGTGTCCCTCCTGAGAGGGGCCGCCTACTCAGGCCAGCCCTCCTCATCCGTCAGCCACTCAGCTGAGTCACTGCTTGGCCTGGACCCCTCAGTGGACAGCCATCCACACTACCAGAGCAGCTTGGGGAGGCCCAAAAGTGGGGTGTGGGGCAGAGGCGGTCGGGGCCAAGGGAAGGCAAGAGGGAGTGAGACGGGAAAGGTGGGTACTGACACCAGGGCTAACAGAGTGGAAGCCTTGGGAAGGCAAGTGGAGGGGCCTAAGGCTGACTGAGGCAAGCAGAGAAACCCGCAACCGGTCTAGTCTACCGCACGGTGCGGTGGCCACTCCCAATCCAACCCTGTCTCCCTGTCTTCTCTCGGCAGCTTTGGCTATTCCTGTTGATTTTTGCCACAGAGGAAAACGGTCTCCCATGAGGTGTGGTGAGAAGTGGGTGGCTGGGAGATGTGAGGGGTTAGCTGGCCTGCTCTGGGAGGCTTTTCCCTGCTGGCCCAGGGTCCTCACTCCCCTGCCCGCCCCGCCCACTAGGTGCTCTGTAAATATTTGTTGAGTGAATGATTCTCCTGTGCTCCCTCCAGTCCCTGGCTGTGGCTGGGAGGCCAGGGCTGGGGGTGGAGGCTGGTGACCAAGCTGGACTCTGGACCTTGAACCCCTGTGTCAGGCCCCCCTACGGTGATGGGTGTCGGTTCCGTCTACTCTTCTTTCGTCACCAGAGATCCTGAAAGCTGGAAACCCACCTGTGTCCCTCCCTCAGGAGGGCCCATCTTTTTCTTTTTAATTCTACTTTTGTTTATTTATCTTGGGGTAGGTAGGTAGTACAGAAACACGGTTCAAAATTCAAGGTACAAAAGGGTATTCGGTGCAAATTCCCCCCACCCGCCCTCCCCCTCTGTTAAACAGCCCCCAGGAACTCGTATGTCTTGGGCCCTCCAGATAAGGAGGGGACCTCCCAGCCCCAACCCTTTCCAGAGAACTCAGCTCCTGGGACCAGAGTGGAGCACCCAGGTCCCTGTCAGCATTTGGGTCTCATTTGGGAGGCCAGTCTTCCATATTCAGATTCGAGGGGGAGGGCACCAGGGTGTCGCACCTGGCACATGGACGGCCAGGGTGTGACACCCAGCGGCTCGAGCCACCCTCTCACACCCACAGAGCCTGGGCTCTTTCCTGGGGCTCCCGCAGCAGAGCTGGAGGATGGGTCTGTCACTGTGTGCCCAGCCGTTCTGCCCTGGGATTTCAGTAGCGCCCCCTTCATCCATCAGCCACCTGACCACCCCCCACCCCTCCTGTCCACTGGCACTGGCTCTTGCTTGGGAAGTGTCCCCCTCCTCCAGGGCTATTAAAGAAGGGGGCAGTAGCAGGCCTACCTCCTCACCCTCCTCGATGTGGTAGTCCTTCCTGACGTTGGGGCCCCCGACGAACATGACTTTGAGCTGCTTCTGGTGCCTGCAATGGACAAGGGGAAGGAGGTCCTGAACCAGCTTGTGGAACAGGACAGGAGGGGTGCAGGGGCCCATGGGGGGCCTGGAAGGAGCCTGGGTACACCTGGGAGAGGTGACAAGGCTATTTCTATAACATTGTCCCTATAGTCTCTGACATTTGTCCCCTCCCTTCTCATCTCAGTATGGCTATGCTCCTCCAAGTGTGGGTGTGCGCCTGAGACTGTATGTGTACGTGCGTCTTTCTGTATCTGTGTCTCAGGGGATTTGTGTGTGTGTCCCCGACATCCTCTGACCCAGTAGTGGGGAGCAGTGTGGTGGCAGATCTACCGCTTCATCACCCAGGATCCCGGGCCTCGCTCAAGACCTCCAGTTACAGGAGAGCAAACTGTAGGCACCACTTCCTGGGCTAGAAGCAGTGGAGGGGTAAGATGGCCTTTATCTGACCGCCTCTCCCAAGCCGTCTGACTGGGAGACTCTGCTCCCTGCAAACTGCTGGCTTGAAGCTGTGAGACACCTGGGGAAGGAAGTGGAGGGGAAAGCTGGATGCAGAGCCCCTGAGGCTGGAAGCACTGGGGGTCCTGGTGGTGTGGGAGTGGGAGTGGTCTTGGGGAGCAATGGTGAGAAGGTGGAACGAGGTCACTCCAGGCTTCAAGAACTCAGCCAAGGAGTTTGGTCTTGGCCTGAAGGGTGCCAGGGAGCCTAGGAAAGTTTTTTTTTTTTCTTTTAAGTTTTATTTAAGTAATCTCTGCACCCAATGTGGGGCTCGAACTCAAGACCCTGAGATCAAGAGTCACATGCTCTTCTAACTGGGCCAGTCAGGTGCCTCAAAGTTTTGTTTTTTTTTAGGATTTTATTTATTTGACAGAGAGAGACACAGCGAGAGAGGGAACACAAGCAGGGGGAATGGGAGAGGGAGAAGCAGGCTTCCTGCCGAGCAGGGAGCCCAATACGGAGCTCGATCCCAGGACCCTGGGATCATGACCTGAGCCGAAGGCAGACACTTAACGACTGAGCCACCCAGGAGCCCCAGTTTTTTTTTTTTAAATCAACTTTCCTGGGATATAATTTAGATACATATGGAATGAGCCCACTCAAGAACTGTTTCCACCCATCAGCCAGATCATATCCCTCCTCTGCTCACCCCTCCCCACCGCAGTGTCATATGGCCCCCTCACCCCCAAATTCCTATGTTGAAGTCCTACCCCCAGACCTAGGAATGTGACCCAATTTGGAAATACGGTCATTGCAGATGTAACTGGTTAAGCCACAGTGAGGTCACACTAGAGTAGGCTGAGCCTGTAACCCTTATTAAAAGGGGAAATTTAGGGCGCTTGGGTGGCTCAGTTGGTTAAGCGACTGCCTTCGGCTCAGGTCATGATCCTGGAGTCCCTGGATCGAGTCCCGCATTGGGCTCCCTGCTCAGCAGGGAGTCTGCTTCTCCCTCTGACCCTCCCCCGTCTCATGTACTTGCTCGCTCTCATTCTCTCTCTCTCAAATAAATAAATAAAATCTTAAAATAAATAAATAAATAAATAAAAATAAAAGGGGAAATTTAGGGGCACCTGGGTGGCCCAGTCAGTAAGCATCTGCCTTTGGCTCAGGTCATGATCCTGGGGTCCTGGGATGGAGCCCCGCATTGGACTCCCTGCCCAAAAGAGTCTGCTTCTCCCTGCCGCCCCCCCCGCCACTCGTGTTCTCTCTCTCACTCTCTCTCAAATAATAAATAAAATTCTTTTTTTAAAAAAAAGGAGGGGGGAATTTAGACACAGACACATCGATGGGGAGAGTGCCCTGTGAAGATGAGGACAGAGATCAGGGTGATGCAGCAGAAGCCAAGGAAGGCCAAGATCGCCACCAAGCCACCAGGAGCTAGGAGAGGCCTGGGGCAGACTCTCCCTGACAGCCCCAGCCAACATGGGGTGGGGGGCCGCAGCTCTGTCCCACCCTGTGGCCCATTATGCCAGCCTGCCTCCAGCCCTTGTCTGTTTGTACGTGTTGGCCGCTTCCTCTCACCCAAATGTCAGCGCCCCAAGGAAGTGACCGTCAGTTTGTTGTCTGTTGCATCTGCAGTGCCCAGAACAGTGCCTGGCACATATTGAGTGCTCAGTGAACACCTGCCGAACGAATAAAGGCAGCGCCTGCATTTTGTGATGCTTAATACTGGGGCCTGGCCGGAGGCCTGGGTGGGGGGTGCCTGGAGGCAGGGGCAGCCTGCACCACTCAGGCTGGAGGTGACAAGGGTGGCCCCAGAGCTGTGGCCAGAGGGCTGGCGAGGAGCAGAGAGATGCGAGGCACTGTTGGGGCACCCTGGGGGGTGCACAGGGATGAAGTGGAGGAAAGGGGTGAGGGCCACAACAGTGGTAGGAGACACGAGGCCCCGGGGTGGGGGTGGGGGGCGGTTGGCCGTGAGCCGGTGGTGGTGCTTCACGGTGACCAAGAGTGTGGACTTGGGAGTCGAGCTCTTCCATGGGCTGGAGTCTGGACCGGGGCCCATACTAGCTGTGGGACCCTGGGAGAGTCACTCATTAGAATCCCCCTCCGGGAGCTAGTGTGAGGACTAGGTGAGGGGGTGTAAGAACACTGGGCACGGCCTCTGGCTTGTCGGGGTGTGCCGATGCAGCTGTGTGGTTTGGGGTGCCGGGCCGTTGGGGATGTTCTGCAGACCTGGCAATGTGAGCCAGGAGCTGGGGAGCACACCAGGCCCGGCCATGGGGCCCAGGGCAGGGGAGGGAGGTGAAGGGGCCACAGGGGAGGGCCCAGGCCTGCTGGAGAAAGACTGCTGTGGACCACCACCGGCCCTGCTGGGTGCTGTGGGCAGAGGTGGCCAGGGACGGCCTGGTGGGAGTGTGTATGCCTGCGAGGAGGAGCCTGGGGAGAGCACTACATCAAGATCTTCCTACAGGAGCTGATCCTCCACTTGCCCTCTGGCTGCAGGTTCTACTGCAATTCTGGGACATCGGAAAAACCACCCTCCCCAGATTTCTGTCACTGGGGGGTTGGAGAGCTATTTCTAAGCCCTGGGGACAGGTCGGTGACCTGCCATCTGCATCTCTCCTAGGCTCAGTCACCCAGCCATCTTCAGAAGTCAAGGTCACAATCTCCAGGGCACAGTCATCAGAAAGAGGAACAGATGAGGGTGGGGGAACCCGGAACAGCCTGCCCTCCCCATCCCCCGCCGAAGGCACAAGAGGATGGCAGCCCCTTTCTGCAGGCTCCTGGGTCAAGGAGCTGGGGGCTGGAGGGTGAGGGGTGAGGGGTGCGGACGGCGGACGGGAGGTGGGGGCAGAGGGCAGGAGGAGGGCGGCGTGCCTGGGACTCACAGGAGCTTGTTGCAGACCGGGGGCAGGAAGGAGGCTCGGTTCTCCTCCAACCAGGTCTTCACCTTCACGGGACGCGCCATGGCAGCCCGGGAGCCCACTCTGGAGCCAGGTGCCCCGGCGGGTGTCCGAGGGGTGCGGCTCCGCCCAGCCGCCCACTGGCCGCCTCGCGAATCGGCGACCGGGGGGCCAAAGGGCGGGGCAATGCCCCCCGCGCCGCCCCCACGACGGTAGCCCTTGCCGGACTTTGGTCCCGGGCCCGCCCGTCCCCCGCGCCGCCCCGGGCTGCCCCCGCCCAGCCCCGCGGCCTCCGCGCGGAGGAAGCGGGGCGCCGGGTGGGGCCGCCCCTGCTTTCCGCCGGGTTCGGGCTCAGCCCCCCTCACGTGCCGGGACTCCCCGCGAACATGCGCGGTCCCCTGTCCCCAGACTTTGCGCCTGGACCCCGCGGAGGCCTCGGAAGACAGACTACGACGGGAGGAAGGCGGGCTTGGAAATCCGAGCACGTGAGTACGGAGGTGCTGGCCCTGGACGGAAGCCTCGGTTTCTCATCTGAGAAATGGGAATGTCTACACAGCCATCCCAGGGTTGCACAGCGGCCACCATAGGCCTCCGATGGCTGTCAGTGCCCATCCGCGGACGAGGACGGCGGTCAGGCCGGAGTCCCCAGGTTTAGCGAGTGCCGCTCTCCTGGCTCAGCCTCAGGCTGGGTGAGAGCGGCGAGCGGGGAGGGGACCGCGCGCGCCACGAGGGATCCCTGGCCCTCGCCTACATTTGCAGGTGGCAGACAGAGCACCGACGAAGCGCCCGGCACTGTCTGAGCTCCTGACGTGTCTTGGGGACATACTCAAGTCACACGACACTTCGGTGAGTTTTACCGACGAAGAACCGGGCACTCGGTGTCCCAGCCCTCGGGAATCTCGGGGTCCTGGGGTGGGTGGGGTGGGCGGACAAACCTGTGCCCAGGCTTCCAGCCCGGTTACCCTGGGGGCGGCGGGGAGGGGGGGCGATTGTGAAATCGGAAAACCGGGTGGGGACGAGGAGGAGGGCAAGACAACACGACACCTCTTTTCTTCTCTTCCTTCCGGACTTAGAATTTTTAGGAAAAATGTGCGTGTGTTAGAGGAGGGTGGGGTGGGGAGAAGGAAAACAGCTCAGGCTCTGACGCCGGAATCCAGACTACAGAGTTTAAGAAATTCAGCTCCTCCAGCTCCTGCCCTCCCAGCCCCCCTTGCCCCTTCCCTGCAGCCTGGGTGGGCTGGTTTTCTCAGCACCTTCCCACACACAGACCCGCCCCCCCCAACCCTGCGCAAATCAGAACCCAGTCAGAGAGGCAGAAGATTGCCACCCACCTCTGCTAGGAGGACCCTCCTGTTTCCTCTCCTTCCCCATCTCTATCCCCCCTTTCGCTGGCCCTTTGTTCTCTTTGTAGTTATTATTTAGAACTTTTTTTGCTGAGCATTTCTTTCTGGAGTATTGCTTGGCACCCAAAGAACTCAAACCATATTCTTTGTCTCTGTAAGTAATCCAGAGGAGAGGTAAACAGGGACTGGTGAAGCAACGAGGATCCCTGATAGATTAGGTTTGTTTTGGGTGTTTGTTACCTGGATGGATGGGTAGGTGGGTGGATAAAGGCATGAATGAATTCACAGAACAGATGTTCTGTTACATAGTACAAAGGAAAGGACAG